TCGGCGCCGCGCTGGACGGCGCCGTCGCCCCGTCCGACCGCCGCTTCTACGCCACGACCGCCACGGGCATCGCCACCGAGCCCGGCGCCTTCCTCACCCACAACTCGGGCGCCGACATCCCGGCCATGGCCAAGCTCTCCTGCCTGCGCATCGTCGACAACGACCACGTCGTCCTCTTCCGCGGCTTCGTCGCCGGCGAGCACATCCTCTGCGAGGACGGCGTCGCCACCTACTCTGAGCACACCCTCGCCCACGCCCGCATCCGCGCGGACTACCCCACCGGCGACGAGGGCCTGGACCTGTCCGACATCAACCTGGCCCGCGCCCCAGACCAGGACGGCCTCACCGTCGGCAAGCGCGCCATCCGCTTCGCGCGCCGCGTAGACGGCGAGGATGACGAGTCCATCCGCATCGTCCTGTTGCACAGGGACGCGCACAACTGCACCTTCGGCGTGCGCAGGTCCGTCGGCAGCGGCTTCGACATCGAGGTCGACCTCAAGCTCATCATCACGTGCGACGTGATGGTCGTCGAGTTTCAACGCATGCTGGCCGCCAAGCCGGGCTGCCTCCCGCCCCGCATCTCCTTCCTCCACCAGACGCTCGATGCAGTGGTCATCTCGCAGGAGGTGCGGCACGCGCCCACGCTCAAGAGCGACAACGTGCAGGCGACGCTGACGCTGGGCGGCGTGGTGACGGGGGCGATTGGGGCCGGCGCCGTCACGATCGCGAGCGTGGTGCTGTGGATGCTGATCAGGGCCTCCAAGGTCAAGAAGGACCTGACGTGTATACGCGGGCTCGCGGAAATGTGGGGCGAGGAGAAGTTCGGGACCAGCCGCGACGGCGTGTTCGTCGCGCTCGCCGGGAAGAACGGCGGGGCGTATCTGGGGACGGCGGAGACGCGCGTAGTGGGGACGGACGGCTGGGTGGAGGACAATGTCACGTGGAGCGGGACCAGCGGAGACAGGTGGGACGAGGCGGACGTGGGAATAGAGGAATGGGACATGGACTTGGAGGACAATAAATGAATAGGGAAGTGTTTTGTTCTAGCCTGGGAGTGCGCGGCATGCATGTGCAGTAACAGTATTATTATTCATTGTATTGGGGGGGGGGGCGGTTTGCTAAACAGAACTGTTTACAGTTTGAGAAACGAGTCCGTAGCGATATAACACGTCTGAGCGCTGTCCACGTGCACGTGTCGTAGCTGTGCCATAGCTACGAGCCGCAACGGATACCCGGCAGGGTAATTTGGAACGCATTCTCTTTTTTAAATGGAGAAAGTACTTGTTTAAGGGTTTTGTCGCCAAAACAGGCGCCATTCGAAGCGCGGTATTCTAGTCGATAAAATGAGCCTATCAATTCTTCATGTGCCTGGATTCCTGGATCTCGTGAGAACCTACCCAAATCTATTGTTAATGGTCAACATTGCCGGAATTCCAGAAAATTGGGCAATTTGGAACGTGTTTTTTGGGCGTGACAAGCAGGTTTTCAGGGAGTTAGAATAGAAGGGTACACGTGTACAATTGGTGCAAAAGCTTTGCACATATTGTGTGCATAGAGAGACCTTTGAAGCTGTGTTCCAAATTACCCTTTTTTCCAAATTACCCTTTTTTCCAAATTACCCTTTTTTCCAAATTACCCTTTTTTCCAAATTACCCTGCCGGGGAAGGGTAAACAGTTTGAGAAACGAGTTCGTAGCGATATAACACGTCTGAGCGCTGTCCACGTGTCGTAGCTGCGCCATAGCTACGAGCCACAACGGACACCTTTTTGGTACCACCCCCGCATTGGCTGTTTCCCACAGACTGTTTAGCCCGCGTGCCAATCACGTCACCGGTGCACCTCACGCTCCCACTCGCCACCCGTTACAACCTCCCCGCCCTTTCCGCAACCTCGCCCTCCCGTTCAAACTTCCCGCCATCTCTTATAACCTGCCTCCCCCCTCCCTCCTTCCATCCCCTGCCGCACTCCCCGCATCTCCCCCCTTCCACACACTCCCTCCTCCTCCTATATCACTTAAATTCTCTCCCTTTTTCATA